TGATTTCTTCTACATTGGATCCTCTTCCCTCTTCTATGTCTATTTTGAAACAACTCTATAACAACTCAAGATAGAAGTTTGCAGATATAAGTGTATTCTACCTAGTTTCCCATTCATTTCCAAGACCAATGTGAGTTATCAGCTTTGAACTACAGTACTTTTTATGCACTGAACCTCAGTACCAATGGAATAGAATTTATTCACTTCATCTATTTGTCTACAGAAGTCATTTTCAAAGCCCTTCTCTATGTGCTATGTCATTCTTAAGCGTGGACTGTTAGAGAATTAGTTTTAGCAGTACATTCTTGCTCCATGAAGAACTTACTTGCTTATCTTTTTATCACCAAGTTAGAATGTTTTTATTTCTCCAGAAGTTTCAAATTTGTTTGTCACTGGCTGGCTTTAGCTTTAAAAAAATCTGTATTTCATTTGCTTGGCTTTATATAACTGTCTTTGTATGATGGCTTCAGATTTTCATCATGGTTTGGATTTATGAATTATAGCATTGTGTGTTCCTGCTATATAACTGAGCAGAGCACTTGTTCTACAAGCATCATACAAGACCTTGCAGACGATAATAGACTCATCTTGCTAATTTAATGGAAATGCTACATAATGCTAACAATTTTCTGCAGTATTTTCCTGATACCCTACTCAGAATAGTCCCTCAAATTAAATGCAATAACCATGACTTCACTCTGTTTAATGTCCTGATAGTTTTATTCAGATAATTGCAGAAAACATTTAAAACTGTTTTATGTTATTATCCAGTATGTCAACTTCCAACAGATGTACTGTAGTAACAAAAGTTAAAACTCGTATATATTTACATTTTGTACTCAAGGATAGTCAGTTATATTTTTTATGCATAAAAGAAATACTGGTACATATATGGCATGAAATTGAAAACCTACATTGTTTAGTATAAAGATATAGCAATTTTTAAATGGAAATAATCAGCAAGTGAGGCACTTTCTGAGAAGTGAAAAACAAATTGCATTAACCAAAATAAAATCCACAAATAAAAGAGGAAAACTTTATATATAGGTTACATTGCAGCTCCCAAAATAAAGCTCTTCCACTGGATCTTTTTCTATTCTCATAACTAATGACAATTATTGAAATTAAGCATCTTTGGGGCAAAATGTCATTTAATGCGATTTAAATGGCATTTAGTGCCAATGCTATTTAAGTGGCATTTAGTGGCACTAAAATGCATATGGATATTTTAACCACCCACTTGTAGTAATCAAATACTTAAGTGAAATTTGTGAATTGTAGTTTCATGTAGAATGAATTAATAGAAACATTATGTGCGACTCAAATGAGTTAAAATTTTCTTGTGTAGAAGCAAAATACGAGTATAAAAATTGAGAAGGAACAAAAAAAAAAGTGTACTATCTCAACGTACATGCATCTTCTGAAATTGCTACGGTGGATGAAGATGAGCTAGGAACCAAGCTGGTTAAGAATGGTTTTATCCTTGTGTTCTAATGGTGGCTTTCTCCAGGTTCGACCTTCTCCAGATGTATAGGATTTGCGAGCATAAGTCTTTGTAGGACATTGGATTAGGGAAGGACATTTGAGATGTTTGTCAGTTGTTTTTACCTCATATTCCAGCTGCCAACTTTGCAGAAACATTGATTCAGACATTAAACCTTTACAAGCTGGAGGTGTATGAAAAGTCATCCTTGGCTTTAAAGGAGAAATAGGACAAGCTTTCTGTGATCCATGGCAAAGAATATAATGTTCTAAGCTACTTATTTTTAAATGATATGAAAGATTGTGGGTGTTCAAAGCTATTCTTTGGGGAACATTCTCCAAAAAAGCTTCCTAGTTTCTTCCCAAACTCTTCTCCATCAACACAGATCTGATTTTTGGCAAAATGGGAATAAAGTCAATTAAAGAATATATTTAGTCTTAGAGAACTTTTCCAGAGAAAAACAATCTTAACTTTTTAAGGTTAGTCTATAACTATTTTTCTTAAAGCACATGGATTTTGCATGAAAACATTACAACTGTATTACTACTTGATAAATCTGCAATTACGCGTTTATTACCCTTTCAGAAATGACGTTTACATTGAATTAGAAAGAATGAAATTGCAAATGCTAAATAGGAGAAATTGACCTGCGCCATAGAGCCAAATGCCAGAAAATAACTTCTATACACACACGGTCTGGTTTGTGAGTAAGTACATTACATTATATTACTTTAGGCTTGTCTTATTTCATTTCTCTAGAACCCCCAAGGTCTTCCAAGTAAACCAGCTGGAGCTTGCAAGCAAACTGTATGACTCATAAAGCTACTGTTTCACTCCCTCCCACTCTTGTTAGTTTCTTTCTTTCAATATCCTAATTTAGCAGGGAGGGAGAGTTTTGTCATGATTGTTGAATTAACAGTATAACAGAATTGGAAGGAACCTTGGAGGTCTTCTAGTCCAACCCCCTGCTTAGGCAGGAAACCCTACACTTCAGACAAATGGTTATCCAGTATCTTCTTAAGAACTTCCAGTGTTGGAGCATTCACAACTTCTACAGGCAAGCTGTTCCACTGATTAAATGTTTTAACTGTCAGGAAATTTCTCCTTAGTTCTAGGTTGCTTGATTAGTTTCCACCCATTGCTTCTTGTCCTGCCCTCAAGTGCTTTGGAGAATAGCTTGACTCCCTCTTCTTTGTGGCAGCCCCTGAGATATTGGAACACTGCTATCATATCTCCCGTAGTCCTTCTTTCTTTTTTTGAAACCAGAAATTCTTGCTGATCTGCTGCATATTACCTGCATGTTTATGAGCAGATCCTGGTATACTTTTGCCTACCTGGTGGAAGATTATACTAAATTAATGCTTGAAAGGCTGTATGACTCGTCACAATTTCTAAATCATATCTGTCCAGCAGGTGGTGCCCGAGTAACAGAGCTATTTTCATGTAAAATAACGTAGGAAGAACTTTTCCAGGCCTAAAAATATCATTCAGAGATTTATCAAAATAGGCAACTTTATCTATTAAAAAGCGTCTGAATTGATGTTTTATAAAATACAACTTTTCATCATACTTTTCTGGACAAAACAGGATGAAAATAAAAAACAGGAACAAGAAATGTATCCAACATACAGATAAACATCCACTGAAAATGTATTATTAAACACTATTAAATAAATTCATTAAATAGGAGTCAGTAGATTGTTAAGTTAAAATCTAATGGTTATTCTAAGAAAGGATTTTGCTTTAGTCCTAAATTCTAAATATCTCAATTTTTTTAACACACAAAATATATATTGGACCAATGCTGTTACTTCAGATGATTTTAGTGGGGAGGAAAGAACCTAAAATCCTATAGTATTGTATTTGTATTTCAATGCCTTCCCCAAGAAGAAACATAATTTATTCAATAAAGGATAATACAAGTTTACCAGCAAAATGTTTAAATACACACTGAAATGGAGGTGAATATACTGTATTTTTCGGAGTAGAAGACGCACACACCCCAAAAGTGGGTGGAAAAGTCTATGCGTCTTATACAGTGAATTTTGCTGAAGTCCCGCCCACCCAGAGGCCCCCACCCTTCATCCTTCAGTCTCTGCATGCTCCATTTTAGACCCATTCCAGGCTGCGGGGATCGCCACAGCACATCGCTGCTGATCGCCGTGTCACGTTTTTGGCCTCTGCACGCCCTGTTTTCGGCCTCTGTGAGCCCTGTTTTCGGCCGGTTCCAGGCAGCAGAAAGTGGCGGTGGTGGTGGTGATTCCCGCCACCTGGAACGGGCCAAAAATGTGACACACAGAAGCGACGATGTGCTGTGGCAATCCTGGCAGCCTCGAATGGGTTTAAAACGGAGGGTGAGGAAGCAAAAAACGTGAAGCGTGGAGGCAGCGATGGGCTGTGGCAATCAGCCTGGAACAGCTGATTGGCGGTATTCCGGGAGGCCGATCCAACCACCAATCTGTTGTTTGTGCTGAACAATGCTGCGTTAACGTGTTGAAGCTGACTAGGCTATTTGCTGCAAAGATGCTAGTCAGATTAATACCGATGGGATGTTGCTGGCAGAATTTTTTTTCCTTGTTTTCCTCCCCAAAAACTAATGTGCATCTTATACTCCGGAGCATCTTATACTCTGAAAAATATGGTACATGTCCCAGGATAATGTCTTCTGGTCCCAGTGACCAATCCAAATTGGATCCTGAAACACACTAAAATGCACATATTCAGAAAAAGGATTAAAGCATATAGAATTCCTTGTGAAAAACACTACAGGAACAGATGTATTATGTTGATTAGTGTTCATCAGACATAGAGTCGCTGTATCTTAAAATATTTAAATATATGTGTGTGTGCAAATATACACGCAGAGGTCCAAAGCACTTTCTTGGTCAGCCAGCAAGTTCTTTTCATGGCTATTTGTTGCTATGCCCCACTTTAATAAAAAACAGAATGTTTTAATCATTGCTGTTCACAATTCATGCTGTTCTCATGCCATTAATGAAATAAAAATTAGGGATTTTTTTTTCTCTGTCTCACTTTTTCTGTTTGGGAAAAGAAATGAACATTTTGCCTAGGCAACCAAGTTAGCCAACAAAATGACTATATGAAGCGTGAAAGACATCCTATACATCAGTTTTTAAAGATATAAAATGCAGGAAAGGCAACTGCTGCTAAAGAATCACATTTGCTGACTTAGGTTATTTATTCTAGATGAAAGTACAAAACTAGAAAGAACCTCTTAACTTCAATAGTTATCAATATATTTCTCTTATTTTCAATGTGAAATAATACTTCAAGATGATCCATGTACATAATGTTGTCAGTTCAAGCTGTCATATAAAATATAAATGCCCCTTTAAAAAGATATTTTACAAACAGTGTTATGTACAATTGTTTGGTTTTGATGTCTGGGCTTTGGGAAATGTAGATTGTATAGTGGAGGTGGAACTGTATGATGGAACATGATCCAAAGAAAACAAAATCAATATGTATATTTTTCTGAAGAAAGACAGATATTAAAAATTGTGAAATTTTAATTTTAATCCAAAAACATATTAAAGACATATTTTACTCCCTTCTCCACATCCCTTAACCTTTTTGAATGAATGACTGCTTCACTGCTTTAAATTTTTATTAATAAAAATCCTCTATGCTTAATTATGTTATTATGCCATATGATAGATAACATTTAGGAATTACCAGAAATGGCATTTAGAACACACAGCCAAATGTTAAGTTAAATATATTCATTAATATGCTACAACTCAAAGACAAAATAAAATCCATTTTCATTCAACAAGAAATTAACTTGTTTTCTCCTACCTGGACTACAGTTTGTCATATAACATAAATTTAACTTGTGGTAGGTCAAATAAAAGTAAAATAATGGAAACATATAAAGAAATAACTGGCACCAAGTTGAAACAAAGTTATAAGCATATATTTTAAACAATTTTGAAGTGATAATTTTCTCTTCCCAAACATTTGTCATCAACATTTTTAGGAGGGAATCCTAAAAGAAAATCTGCTGGCTGTGAGAAAGGGAGGGGTAAAATCTTGCCATTACATTGAAATTAGAGTTATTTATATATAAAAATAAATGTTATGTTCTCATAAGAGCATTAGACAATTATATCTGTGCTTAACAAAACATTGGTCATTCAAGACTACAATAATTAATATTTAAAGGTTTTCAGATTACCAGAATGTACAGAAGAAAATTAATACAAAAATGTAGTTGAAGGGAAATAAGACTGAAAATATTGATTTCTCTATTTGAATAAAAATACTAAGTATTTAAAACTGAGAAATACTATCACGGAATGTGCCTGGAAACAAGGTCCATAACTGCTGAACTGGAAAGTGGAAGAAAGATTTAACAATTTGTACCGTATATTTTGTTAAATATAAACATTTGTTATTTGTACATAAAACTGTTTCCGAAAACTATTTATAAGTAATTTAGTTGCACTGAAAATCAATTTAATTTTTCATATCTGCCAAGACATTAACTCCTTTAGTTTTCAATCAGCTTTCCCTAGTGCAGGTTTAGTTAAATTTTCTGCCAAATGGATTATTTCAAAAGTGTGTTTCCCCCCCATCACCTATAGCACAAAATGTACAGAGTGCTGAAGTATGGACTGCAGAGTTTATACTTCTTTTAAAGACCAATCGGAAGGAAAGGCTTTCAGGTTGCAAAAACTCCTTCATCACTTGTCCTATGCACTTAAAAAGTAGATTAGGCATGGCTTGCATTGGTCAAATGCCACAGTTCAGACACATCTTCCACAAGAGGCCTTTCCTATAGGGTGGGTTTTCCCTTCTGCGTGCCAAGTGCTTCCATGAATTAGATACTTCCCAGCAATAAAGACTTGTCAGCTCATTTTTGCACCAGACTGCTTCATCCTGCAGCCTTATGTTTTCCTCCACAGCATCCACAGATTTCGCCACAGTGGTGACACGCTCTCAGTGGGAGGTAGCAGCACATACATGGCGCAATGAAAGACAAAGTGACGAGGGCCAGCCATCGTAGGCAAAACTTGTCGTCACTCGTGTCACAGGAGCAAGGGTCAGAGAAATCCCCTTCAGAGTCTGACATGCAGTGGTAGAGCATGCTCTCGGCACAAAGCATGCAGCTAACTTGGTATATGCATCTTCTAATTGGGTCTGGAGCATCTTGGCATTTGCCCCGCCCATTCTCTTCATGGTTAAACCTCTCTTGACAGTATATGCATCGAGAGCGCTCACCATCCTCTTTCCTTTTTTTGGATTTTTTCAATTTGATAGAAGAAGGCTGGGTTTTGAGTACCACAGAACTCTTAGAATCTTTTAGGGAATTCAGTTTAGGTCCATCTCCGGATGGGTAGAGATAGTCCGATTTTTTATGGTCTGCTTTAGGGCAGTGCAGCGAGGAATCTATTTCATCCCTATCCAAGTCATTTTTCCACATATCAGGATGCCGATAGTCTGCATAGCGACGTATTAGAATATCACGAGGGTTTATCCGAACAATTTCTTCTTCGTCTTGAAAAGTGACGCTCCTGACTGGTTTCTGGGGTATCTACAAAAGAGGAGACGACACAGAAAGGAAAAGAGGGGCCTTTAATTTTACACATAACCATACTGATGACTGAATGTGTTACTTCAAACAAACAAAGTATTAAGTCACAACAACTTATGCAGTGGTGGGTTGCCCCAGTTCACACCGGTTCTATAGAACTGGTAGTAAAAACTGGCGGGAGGCTCCGCCCACCAACCCCGACATCATCAAAATGCTTCTGTGCATGTGCAGAAGCTTCTGCGCAAACAAAGCGAGAGCACGCGTGCGGCCCCGCTGCAAACCGGTAGTAAAGGTAAGTAGAATCCACCCCTGATCTTATGTCTCAGGAGAATAGTTTTTCTTAAAGTGCACAATTTATTGAATATACCTGCCATATTTATTGTTTTTTCAACAGTCCAAATAACCAAGCACTGCAGTGCTGATAATCCTTATATTAAGTTCACATTCTCTTACACTCAAAACATTTTAAAGTAAAGGACATGCCTAAATACTACAAATTAACAAGAAGGTTATTATTCCAAAGCACAACATTTTTAATGGTCATGTGAATCCCTTGAAGGCATCTAAAAATTAGATTGGGATCACATCAAGCTGTGGATGATATGCACTTCTAACATTATTTTAAACTGAAGGAGATGGTGGAACACCCCCCCCCCCATGAATATCTGGAAATAGGAATGTAAGAAAGAAGGGTGAATAACCTGAAGTTTAATCAAGCCAGGATCTCTGCAGATAATTTACAGTTATACCTGATGAATTTGCATTTCCTTTAAAAGCCCAAATATGCAACTGGCAAGTGTTCCTGGACTTGGCTCTTTTTGTTGGAAGAGGAAGCATCACCAATGCCATTTATCAGCTTGGACTCCTTGCCAAATGTAGTCTTATTTAATGAATTTAATTGCACTGGTGACACAAATTCTGGTTACATCCCAGATGAATTACAGTAATACACTGTATATGAGGCTATCTTTTTAAAAAGTGCATAAATTTCAACTTTGTGTGTGTTTGTGTGTATGTATTTCTGTAATTATTATATAGACAACTGATTCATATCTGGAGCCAATCCGTCATATTGGTATTGACAATCTGAAAGTAAGCTTATATACAACACCCAAGATCCTACTTTTCAGTCCATCTGTGAAAGTCATCAAGTTGAGTGTTGAGCACATAGCAATTGTTGCTGTGATAATCCTGGAATGACCTTTCATTCCCCCCACCCCCAAATCCACATGGTCTCTCTCTTGCTTTTTAAATACTCCTCTGCATTCCCATGATTTTATTATTATATTCAATAATTATTTTATCTACTGTTGTAGATAAAAATTTTGCTTGAAGTCCACAATTTTGAAGCACACAATTCTCAAATACGAGAGGATTCAGAAGGTTTTTTTCCCCCCGTTTGATTTCTTCCTAGATTTGTAGCAGTACAATTTCAAACATCCACTGCTAAATTAGGAAGGTTGAAAGAAAGAATTTGGTCTTATGTGATTCATGTTAAGTTAAGCCTAGAACGTTCCTTGTAAACATGAGCTTTAAATCATGTTGCAGATGTAAGGTTTGGTACAGGTGCAGAAGTAAAAGTAACATTGGAGCTCAAGCCTGAATTATTTCAAAATGCTTTTAGAAGGAAAAAAAACCCCTTGATTACTTGAAGTACTTGCTTAATAAATACATTAACACTTGTGGTAGGAACTGTAGCCAGGACCAAAGAAGTTGTTCACTTTGCTGGCATCCAATGGAAATCCACAAAACCGAGACAGAAATAGCTTTTCCATAGCCTTCTAAAGGATTGGCTGGTGATGACAGAAGCATCTTTCACTAAGTAAGTTTGCTATAACGTTTTAGTTTATGAGCAAAGATTAAAAAGCAAATAGCCGTCTCCCATCCCTGCCAAAGGGAAAGACAAGATGCTCTATTATATAGGGCAGAGCAACCTTATGTTGGAATATTTGAGATTCACTATGACTTACTTGGCTCAAAGTAATGAAAATCACTCTTGCCAAATGGTTCAAACTCTCTACATAATGAGCAAGCTAAATATGGAATTCTTTGGAATCTAATTCAAGTTCCATTCTCAATTAAAGCAGGGCATGCAAATCAAAAGTTTTGTTACAGATAGTTCTGAATTTTAATTACAGAGTAGTTCACTCATTAGTATGGAAAATCAGTGTGCATGGTAACAAAAGGATCGTTTTGATTCATGGATGGAAACTGGCTTACAATGCTGTTCAGAATCATATAGCCAGTATAAGTTTGGACAAACACAAAAGGTATTTGTTCAAATATTTATGGAAGTATGATCTTCACCTAAGAACATAGCTTGCCTAGAACTGAATAAATTCAATCCAAACAGAAAAAAACAATGTGTGAGATCTTCTACCATGCTTCGGCACAAGTAGATGCAAGAGAAATGAAACACAGCACCACTATAGAAACACAGAATGTACTTATCTTTAAAGACTTATTTCATCAAGGTTTTTTGGCACTGGAAAAGACTTAAAATCAAGTATTTCACTTCTCTCAGCCTAAGATCAAAGTTTTCATAAAAATCATGAATTTTATCATTTGTTAGTAACTCTAAATGGTTGCTGAGCATGACATTGGGGAGATGACAGGCCAGTTGATGGCAAGATAAAAGTAAACGTGAAGATTTCCTCTCTCCAGTCAAGTCCAACTCTAGGGGGCGATGCTCATCTCTGTTTCTTAGCCGAGGAGCCAGCGTTGTCCGAAGACACTTCTATGGTCATGTGGCCAGCATGATTTACACAAAACGCTGTTACCTGTACCTAACTATCTACTCACATTTGCACGCCTTCAAATTGTTTAGGTGGGCAGGAGTGGGGAAAGTAACAGTAGGTCACACCGTCATTTCTTGAACTGGGTTGTCCACTTACCAGCTAACAAGCTCAGCATCTTTAACCACTGAACCATTGCACCCCCCCCCCACCCAAAGCTGAGAAGGGAAAAAAGGTGAGGGGGGAAAAATGGATATCTGTCATAAAACGTGGATAGAGGAATCTGCAACACATCAATTAATTATGCAAACCAGAGAAGCAAGTTCAAAGCACCTAGTTTTGCTGTTAAGCAAGCAATAGTTACTCATTATGGTCAAATCATAGTGAGAATTATGATTTGTTTGAAAGCAGAAACTTCCAGTCTCTTTCATGACATTTCACATCATTGCAGGGAAACCTCTATTCCATTATGTCTGAACTGGAGCAGTGATATTGCTAGACATAATTCTGGTAGCATTTCAGAGGTATCTTTTGACACATACAATATACAAGTTGCTTTTCGGCTTCCGGTTGACATCACGGCGAGAACGGCTTGGAAAATAGAGGGCTCCACCAAGCCCTGCGAAATCCAGCCGGTAACCGCTGTTGGGAGGCCCTAAGGGGTTAAAGCCGCCTTGTGGGGGGGGGGGGCAAAGAAAGGAGAGGCAATTCATGTACTACCAGGAATTCGCAAGTTTCTTGTTAGGTCAGAAGCAAGCTCTCCCAAACAGCAGCAGGGACGATGGCCATTTTTGGCAGTCACAAGCTGGGACAACTGGGACTGTAAGATTTGTGCTTCCAACTTTTACTCCAAAGATTTAATTTAAATACAAGAATTTTAAAAGATAATCTCTAAGCATTAAGGAAGCAGTGATTAGACACACAGAGAAGATTAAAGACTGAAACTTAAGAGGCAAAAGAAATGGCCATGGGAAGTTTTAACATATAAAAAAACTGGAAAAAAAATTAAACAATTTGAAAGCTGATTTTTGGGAGAAACTGTCTTGCTTATTTGTATTTTTAAAACCCCTGGGGTTATTGGATAATTAGCTGTTTTTGACATACTGTTTAATGTTGGACTTGGGAGGAGAGCCATCTACTGGAAGAAGAGGAGCACTACAGCATTACAGTCAATTCACTGTCCACAAAATATGTATTGTGTGTATTATATTTTAATTTTTTTTTTAAAAAATATGCTAGTTGCTTTTTGTAGATTACCTGGTTTGGCTGGTTGTGGAAGTACAATCTTCTGGTGTTCAAATCTTCAAATACTGAGGGTCTTATACATAAAGTTTTGTGGGGATCGTTGCTTGCTAGAGATTCATGTTGGAAAATCGGATCTTTCATTAGCAAACTTGACGTATTTTCTGGAATTGCCTGGAAAAAAATATATATTAAAATACATAGTTAGGGGTTTATTTTTCTTCACTTCTCCTATATAAAATTAAATCCATTGCAATGTTGTTTAGAACTTCAGTTAGTAAGTTGCATATGATACTGAAAGTAACCATTTCATATATAATTAAAAATGCACCATACATACTATTTTAAATAAATGGAGGTAGCATTTATGCAGCATCAGAATAAAAATTTAATGAATACACTGGAAGTCCTTTATCAACCGAAGCAGTGAAAGAGGAAGTAAAGAAGAAGACAGATTAATTTGAAGATATCACTCCTTAAAGGTACTTGCTCAGTGGACATATTTTATCAGAGGTGCAGGAAAGGAAGCAACCATCCAGATTTGAGTAGTTTGGAGAACCAGCAAATACCACCTCTGGCTAGGCCCAGAGTAGGGTGGGAATGGAGATTTTGCAGTATTCTTCCCCTGAAGTGGGGTGGGAATGGGGATTTTGCAGTATCCTTCCCCTGCAATGCCCACCAAGCCACACCCACAGAACCAATATAAAAAAATTTGGATTTCACCACTGCTTTTAACACAACCTTCTTTGAAATGAATGATAGATGTGGAGATGAATTATGGAAGACCTCCTCCTATAATCCCCCTTGAGGTTTCACACAGAAGTGGGATAGATATGTAATGCATATAAATAAATAGAACAGACATGATTCATTCTATGGACAGAGAGAATGTAATTTACTTTTGTTCTAAATATCATTTTGAAAACACAGTGTGATGTTTAAACCATACATACATACTTACAACAGGAAAAAAGAATGGAAAGGAAGAAAGTCAACAACATACTCCAAATATACCCAATTCTTGTTATCTTAGACAAATATAATAATGAGCATCAGAGCATAAAATGTTTTTTAAAAATAAAGGGGAAATCAAACATCATACAGATCATGGATATGTTATTTTGTCAGATGAAAAGTAGAGGAACATAATTTACAATTAACGCTTCACAAAAAAAGGAAAATCCCATTCATTTAAAACGGGGTGGGGGGAGTGTTTTCACATTCCCTCCAAAATTTGCTCCAAAATGCATGTGAACTTTCAGAATAGATTTGGGGATGCCAGAATTTTGAGAAAAAAAAAAAAGGCAAAGGAAGTTCCATTCAGTAAACAGAAGTCTTGTGATAGGCTGTGAACTCAAATTTTCCAAGGAAAATGTCAATAACTGCTACCAAGCCAAGAGACCAAGAAACATAAAAAAGGGTTTCTAGAACGCCATAGGCAGGAACAGTGCCAAGTTTAATACCTAGACCCTGTAAGCCTTAATCACCAAAAACCAAATTATTTGAAAGGGCTTTAGACATGGCATAAAGATTCTTCACTAGATGTACAATGATGAATTTCTGAGACACTTCAGACAAACTCTTTGTCTATTCAAGAATACATGGGTACCAAGTCTACATTTTATAACACAGCTAGTGATATGAAAGTCACCTGTTTCATCAATTATCAAAATGTCTCTATAGTAGCACTCAGTTAACAGAGAAGTTAGCCACATAACTTATCTATCAATTCCACCATGAGATGGCTATTTTGTAGGGCTGTGCAATCCATTTAGAGGTGCACTGATCACAGCTGCACAGAAGCCTTTTCCCTATGCTCTGAGTGTGTGTATGCCCAAAGGACACTTCATTTGCAATTGCCACTGAAGTAAAGCTGTGCAGAACTGAAAAATAGCTTCCATCAGGAAATAAGTATTCAAGGTGGGGAACGCTGCTGTATCTGTATGAAAATGATTTTTTCACAAGATCTGTTCTCCCAGAATGCAGCTGTTGAAGGCTACTCTAACAGAGCCATTAAGATCAGGTATTTGGCATAGACAAAGGCAGTAAGCCTTCTACCAAAATGCAATTGCTTTAATCAAAAAAATTCTTTCTTCAACGTCAAAACTGCTGAGCCTGGTGGCTCAGCAGACTGATAGCATTGTGATTAACACCAGCTGTCTGCAATTATTGTAAGTTCGAATCTCACCAGGCTCAAGATTGACTCAGCCTTCCATCCTTTCTAAGGTAGGTAAATTGAGGACCCAGTTTGTGGGGGTAATAAGCTGACTTTGTATAAATATACAAAAGTATGAAGGCTATTACTTAACGCCTTGTAAGCCGCCCTGAGTCTCTGGAGAAGGGCGGCATATAAATCAAATTTAAAAAAAAAATATTGTTGATAAAAAGAAAATCAATACGAGTGACGCTAAGACACAGTCTTATTTGTGGTAATGTCCCATTGAAGGAAATCTAGCTGCATGTAGGATCTCATTACTATAGCATTACTATTATAGGCATAACTATAGGCAGTAGTTGTGGTTAATTCAGTAGTTGTGCTCAATTCAGCAGCATACACAGACATTACTCTTCTTACAAGAGTTGCGGACAAACTTTTTATGATAGAAATAAACCTGTCTGCAACTCCAATCTAAAAGGTCTTAGATGGTTAGTTTACAGGATGCCACATAGGCATGTTTGTTTGTTTGGACTTGCAAACAAAATGGACTTACAAGTAGCCTCCTGAATGCAATAGCACTTAAGACTTATTATACTGCTTCACAGTGCTTTACAGCCCTCTCTAGGCGGTATAGAGTCAGCATATTGCCCCCAACAATCGGGGTCCTCGTTTTACCCACCTCGGAAGGATAGAAGGCTGAGTCAACTTTGAGCCTGGTGAGATTCGAACTGCCAAATTGCAGTCAGCCGGCAGTCAGCAGAATTAGCTGCAGTACTGCATTCTAACCACTGTGCCACCACAGCTCTGTAACCAGTTGAGCACTGTCCGCACACTAAATTGGACAGATCCAGTTTATAAGCATTGGCCAACGTAAGCATTCCTGCAATCCTGAAAACATGCAGTATAGTTACCCTGCACTGTGGCAACACAGTGATCTATATGGTTTTAAGCATCAGGAAGAGCTACAGTAATGTAAAGCACTTTATTTACTCTCCATTTTAGGCTACTATGAATTTGCATGGGTTCATTCCTAAAAATAATAATAATAAAACCTAATAAAGCAGTAACAGAACAAAAAAATAATAATCAGGAAACATAATTCCAACAAAAAGCCCAACACAGGTTGTTATTATAGTGAAAAATAAGCCAAAACAAACATTTTTATAGTAAAATAAATGAAAAAACCTCACGACATTAATGTTCATTATGGTCTCTATCTCACTATACACATACACAGATTTACAAATGCCTGATTCTTTTCTACTGCCAAAGCAATAACACACCTATATTCAATATCCTTCAACTGCATCACTGGCATAAACTACCCATTATCATCTGTAAAGGAACGTATACCAATTTTTAATGCACAGCAGAAACCTGGTTTGCTCTCAGCTGCTGGTATAAAAATTACTGTTCTATGGTTGCTAAGACATACTTTGACTTTTTTCCAAGACTATTAAAACATTTCTGTGTGCACAAGCAAAAGGATGCTGGATAAAGGAGTAATAAAACGATTCCAGCTGTAGCAGTCCAGCAGAACTCAAAAGCTGGAAGACAGCTGCAGAGAAAATAAAAAACAGATTGGTATTTGCTCTTCTTCAAACCTCCTCTCTACACTTTTCCCAGGATGAAGCTCCGAGGAGAGAACATTGTGCTCTTCTGCAAATCATGTTAAGGCAGTAATTTAAGAAGTGAAATGAAAATAAGGATACCAGCGCTGTACTCGTTTACCTTTTACAGGATCTTCCACATTTTCCAAAAGCATTTTACTCATCAGCCCCCTTCTTTAGAACATATTTTAAAAAGATTAAGAACATGAACATCAAATTTGAAATCATCCCTGCTTTGTGATTTCACAGACAGCAGCAATTGCTTTCAATACCAAAAACGGATTCTCTCCAATTAGTTGCATTCTTCTTGCCCAACATCCTGAAAAGCATCAGAAGCAGCCTATGATCTATGAAATATTTTATGTAGCCATTTAAAACAGAACGTTTCCCACATAAAGCATCTGCTAAAAGCATGAATGAACCACAGATGAGAGCAGTTTCTGTTTTTCAGGACCCACGTGCATGCACATGATCAAAGCTGCCACCTTTCATCTACTTTATTTCACTGGACATCTTTCACAATGTGGGTTTACTGTCATGTGAGGATATTCAGAATCATGGCCTAAGGTTTTTGTTGCTGATCAAATCAGTTAGAATCTCTTTACAAACATGGCCAAATCTATTTTTATGAATAAATTACCTCTCAATCAAACAGTAATGCTTTTAAGAGAGCACTCACTTCAGATGCTTAAGAAGATTTAGCCAATTCCTTAGGAGAACAAGCAGAGTATGATGTCTTGCTGTTTTCTGGCATACTCAGAAAGAAAGCTGAAAATAGAAATTCTCCTGTCCCAACCACTAAAAGCCACACATGAAAACAGCCTTTATTTCACAACAGCTGGCCAGTATTTTATGATAGGGCTCATAAGTAACTCCCTTATCCAGATGTTCAGAGAACAGGGTTGCCTTTCCTGGGATTATGTCTTTAGCAGCACCCCTTTACTGTAGTTATAGAAAGTCACTTTCCCAAGTTTTATAGATCACCAAACTGAATTTACACAAATCCTTACATCTTTCTTCCCACAAACATGGATAGTGGGATTCATGAAGATGCAGCCAAGTAGTTAAGGAGAAAATTTTATTTTTATTTTTTCTTTTAGGTCAAGGCTCTTAATTTATAGGCAGTCTTATGAAAAGCTTTACTAAATCACCTCAAATTTATTGGATAAAGAGATTAAAAGGGGCGTTGGTCTTACCTGACATGCCCTTTCTCGGGGCAGTGGGAACAGCAGTGAGGAATGGGTTAACTCTGTTAGCTGCTAGGACTGAGTCTGCAAACTGTTAAGCCACACCTCTTCCTCTTGCTTCCCAGGTTTTTGTTGAAGGCATGACGCAGACTGACGTGTTGAGCTGTGAATAAAGAAATGCAGATCCCTCCCGGGCCCCAGGACTGGATAGAAAGCCGG